CTTGTGTGGTCAGATTCATATATCTTGGCGCATCCCGTCTTGAAGAGTCGACCTTGGGGCACGGCGTCTCCGAAACAGACGAACAAACACCGAGAACTGGTCGAACACAGAGGATGGACAACGAACAACGGCCAAAACGCTGGGTTACTGTAGTTCAACAGCCAAGCGGAGCAAACACAGTCACGGTATTCAAAGGTCTCTTGCAACCTGGAGGTCAGTCTACATTCTTTGCAGTACTGTCTGTGCATTTTTTTATCTGTTAACTAACTTTATTTTACCGATTGCATCATATAATATATATTATTTCTTTTAACTATACCTCTTAGAATTCCACAAGCTACTGTTCCAGATCTTCGCTAGCGACGTCTGAAGAAATGGCGGTTGGTCGGTTCCAAGTCTCTATTTTTTTCGATTTTTACTGGAATGGATAGTGAATGTGTGTCGCAGTCAATAGTTTGTCTGTATCCAAACCATTTCTAGTTCTTCCCCTTTGTCTTTTTTAAAATAATTTTCAACCTTCTTAGGAACACTTTCTTCTAGGATATTCCACGTCACTGGTGAGGTGAGCGGCGGCCCGATCCGCACGGATGCTATGATGATGATGAATTGTTAAAAACGCGACACTAAAAATCCCCCGAAATCTAACACCCGTATGAGCCAGTCGGCCAATTCGTGAAACCGATGCTTATCTCTTTTCGTACTATCAACCACTGTGATGAAAAAGATTGTGCCGGCACCCGTCGGTTAATACTGTGCCAATCCTTCCAGCATGACAGTCTGACATGGTGTTGAAGAACCACAACAACACACACTCCCGGTATCAATCACGCTTATCGATGAGCACGATGGACTAACTGAGGTATTGTTTTAACAGCTGTTGCACAATTGAAGTGGTAAACTTTCGATGTGTTTAAAACCGGTGAAACAAGGAGTTTTCGCGCAGTATAACTAACCGCGAACATTAAATGTCTATTGTCGTGTTGATAGTGTGAGACGTGGAAGTTAATTGGGGTGAAGACAATTTACCTTTGAAATCAGTGTCGGCTGGAACAAGCCTTCATGCAGCAACCGACAGTGCAATCAAATCTGTCCATGCAGGATCTATTCGAACGAAAATAAGATCGAACTCTGCACCAAGCCTCCACGATGAAATCACGTACTAGATCAGTTGCATAACCGATGACAGTTTTTCGAACCATAAAGTGTTACGCTTGACCGATTTGATACTGGACGATTGTCGACTGAAATGGTGAACCTAAGTGATCGAACCCAATCCATTATGACCCTACTTGCACTTCGAAAAGACCTTCACGCACGTGAAGTGTCAGCCGAATTACCGATAGAAAGGAGTAACTAGGAAGATTTTCGCAAACATTTCATGTAAATATATGACAGAAAACGTAATTTGCCTGTGGTTAAAAGCTTGTATTAAGAGAATATTCAAGGAGAACGTGATTTATTATTTACTCAGACGATGAGTGCAATCTTGACTTCAAATTTTTGTGAATGAAAAGAAAACCGATTACCACATACACTCCTACGATTGACCTTTTTGAGATGAACCTTACATGAGCAAAATGTTTGTTACTTGCGTACCATCTGTGAGCAGACAATTTCCGGCAGGGGTCTGCTTACTTTACCAGTCAAGCAAACTGCAACTTGCCAGTTCGTCAATGAGAGGGTCACGACAACCGGCATGAACACTAAAAAATAATCAGTCGGACCGGTTTGATGGTCGAACTTAATTAATGTACATACAGCTCCACAAGATCAGTGATCGGGTTGGTTTGTATAGAATGAGCTGTACTACTCGGAATTTAGAGGCTTCCAATAGCTCGCAAAATCAAAAGCGGGTGGATGTACATCTATCTGAGTTCATGGTGGATTCCTTTTCTCCATCGATTCACCGTGTTTGATGCTATATTTTAACCGGGCCCAGTTTAATTCGCTATATGAGCACATTTTTCTTGAAGTGCCAGAACACCCAAGTGCAGGCCTAGTCCCCTAACGTGACAACATGACATGAAACTGGTATTAAGTACTACACAACAAGAGCAACAGTATTTCCTCTTTCTTCCTAGCGTACGACTATCAGCTCATCGCTCGAAACAAATTAACATTGGAATATTTGGATTCAGTAGGGCTGTTCACTAACAGAAATCAACTCGGTAGCGGTAGGGGAGTCGAGGTAAATGGTCTGATGATTCACAAACCTCTTTTCACCATTATTGTCGACTGCAACTAAGGCGAATCTCACCCGCGCACTTAGTTCGTTTGTGAAGTGCACCTGAAATATGGACCCGCTTGAAAGTCTGATTGGCGCCTTACTTGGCGTTTTAATAGAAATCATTCCACACAAACCGCTGGTCACTCTATGATGGGCAGGTTGGAGGCTGTTTCTAATGCGGTAGTTCGCTATGCGTCTCTCAACATGGAAACCCCGTGCTTGGCGGATGATTCCGCGTTGAGCCTGTAACGCAGTTCAAAATGTGATGTACTGACGTGAAGTTTGGATCGGCCCCTTGTTGGATGATCTGTTGTGTTGGTGTTTGCATAAGTTGTGAATCAAGTAGACTTTCACTATAAGCGTTTTGCACATGCAGAGCGAAAAGTGCTTCTTCAAGACTGTGGCATTCCAACTACCACGTTCACAATTGCAGATGTCCTTCAGCTTGTGGACGGTTTTACGTATGTGGGTAGCACTACCTCATCAGCTTGTGATATTATAGTGAGATATAGAGAACAAAGGCTTGCTCTGCCTGTGTTACCCTGCATTATCTGTCTCATCAGAAGGAATTTCGGTTGCTGTTCAAAGGAAGGGTGTATAACGGTTGCGTAAATTCCGTTTTGCTCTGTGGTTGGCAGATATGATCTGTTCACAATGTGAATGTCAAAAGACTTCCTGTGTTTGATCGTCGTTTTCTCCTTTCGTCAGCCCATATGAATTAGGATGTTTACGTAAGCTATGTGGCTGTTCGCCGATGCGTGTTGCAGAACGTTCGGGACGCAGGATCAATTGGTCGACTAATCACGATCCACGGCCTGTACTGTTAGGGCCACATAGACGACATGCTAGCTGGGCATTTGCCATAACAGCAGTTTGGTAAATCCGTGTAGTGATTAAGTTACAACCCGGTCACAAAATATGAAGACCCTGACTGTTCCGGTGAACGAAGGTGATAGATGTCGTCCGCCTGGCTGGAGTTCTTGTGAAACGTTGACCTGGAGAGTAGTGCGCTGCAATCAATAGTCTGCTTATATTCACACCATATATCTTTCTTTCGTTTATCCCTGTTTTGTTTGCCTGTACACATCTTTAGCAGTTCCTTTTATCTGGGATGTTCTACGTCACTGTTGAGGTAAGCGGTATCTCGAGGCACGGTAGCATATGGTCAGGCTCAAAACCATTGTGATTACAAAGTATTCAACGTGTAGTTTGAAAAATAACTAAATTTTCCGTATACATCTTATTTCATGTAAACAGACGCCTTTGAATTTACTTCCCGTCGCACCTATGGCTTCCCATTTTCGCTTTCCCTGTACATCGACGGCACGCAAGATTCCCGGATCAGTGCTTGCTGCGAGTATCGACACAAGCGTGGTGTGCGAATCGGAGGGAAACATGGACATTTTGTCTATTCCCATGTTGAAGGATCCATTCCCTGCTTCAAGTAAGCTGTCTATCACTGATGAGCAGTGATGCAGTTGAATGTACCATACAAGCATTTGTTAGGAACTACATTTTTTAAATAACAGCCGCTAAAGATTTGTTCCTCGAACTCAGGACCTGTTAACCACATGTAACTTGTTTGAATCCGTTGTTTTGGGCTGATGAGATGATGATGTGAATCTAATAGGATGTTCTTGAAACTGCTTGTTTATCAAAGTAGCTGGTGTAATTTATGCTATCAACAACTTTGAACGTCCTTAAAATTCTCGTTTATGCATCGTAAGGTGTTGAGAACAATTTTGCTTTCACCATCACATGTAAGTTGAGTATTGTAGTATTGCTAAATGCTGGTCGGGAGTAGTCACGCCATTCTTGCTGAAGCCGTCAACCGTGCGTAATTTTCTGTTGGGCGACATTTATACTGAAATACTGCAGAAGCCTAGCTGGTGTTCATTTTGTGTAGATTTGCCTATCGTGGAATTTTGTTAACGCCTACATTTTAAGATCAACATGTATCAGGTTTCCGAACTTTAATTGCCTTCTGAAGCCATTTGTCGATTTGGAGTTCTCGATGCATTTCATATTGCGGAAACCAACTCTCCTAACTTAATCAAGAATTTAGATGAGACCCAACTGTGAAAAGTCAGGGCTTCGGCTGGATTCGAACCAGCGAGAGAAGCCCCACGCCTCTTCGCAGCAAGCGATTTACCAGCTGAGCTACGAAGCCACGCCAGGAGCTCGGAAATTTCACATTTGGACTCGGTTACCCACCCGTCATCATCAATCTGTCACACTACTCATTAGTAATACAAT